AAAAATCAATACTTCCCCTCCTCCCCAAACTCTGAAAGTGCTAAAATATTAATTACGCTGTCCAAATGAACTTTCCAAAGGGGGTACCAACAGTCCTCAAACACTTGAACTCATCCAGTTTTTCGTCCCTGCTTAGCCATAAAACATGCATGTCCCCATCTCTCCCCATGTTTTAGGCCAGCTGCATAAAAGGACATTTGTACCTCGTTTGACTGCTTCCTCACAGCTCCGCAAGTCTATAGTCTCACAGACTCCACATGAGGGCTGAAAGGAGAACACTCAAGGAGAGTAATGCACACAAAATCCAGAGAACTTTACATATGCCTTTATGTGCTTCTACATATTCATAATCCTTTATGGGTGATCCCAAAGCCTGCCCAGTTGTTTTCTGCACTGAAAATAGCCATTATCATTTGATGCTTAGTAGTAAGGACACATACATATCTCCAGGAAGCTGCTCTGCAAACCTCAGAATAAAGAATCTTTTGCCTCTGAAACTGATGAAGTCACTTTTGATAACCAACTTTAAGTCCCTGTCAGCATGCCATGGTTTGGCTAAAAATCCTGTTAAGTCTGACTTAACATTACTGTTCTTTGGCTTCAGATAAAAAGATCAGTAACACACTTGGGATTTAAAGAAAGATTTGCTTCTATACACATAATAGTTTCTACGGAACAACTGACACGTGGTAACGTGTTACCTCCTGATAGCTTGTTATGTCAAAGATCTAGCTAAAGGGAAACTATGGTGTTCTTCTGATACGGGCTGTAAGTAGCGTGAAGGCCTCAAAAAAACTCTGGAGCTTTTAGAGGCCAAATGAAAAGATCACCTAACAGCAGTGACCTTAACCTATGCCAATCCAAAGATACTTTTATAAAGAAGGCATGATGGCGACATGACAAAGGCATCCAGTTCAAGAGAGGTGATCCAGCTTCTTGATTCTAGGAACGAGCATGCAGTAAGTCACATTACCACCCTTCCCTGCAAGTGTGAGACATTAACCTGCCTTAAGTCCAGCATGAAATGTCACCTGCCTTCTCAAAAATGACTGCTACAAAACCCCTCTCCCTTGTGGCTGCAGTACAGAGATTCTCTTTCCTTCAGCCTGTAAGGTAAGAATACGGCCTCCTGTTAAAGTAACTTTGTATAACGCATCACCCAGAGAGATTAAACACTATGCTAAACTGAACAGCTGGGCCAGCTATGAGCGTGCTGGAGATCCCTCCTCTGCCGTGATGCAGGCAGACATCTGCCAGATGGGGCCAAACAGTTAGAGGGGAAAAGAGGAGCCTCTCAACCATCCCGACAACAGTCTACTTGCTTTCTCCTACAGGATGAGACAGTATTGCTACTTAAGAAAAGCATTTGTGCTTTCTGGCACTTCCAGGACTCAGAAGGAGAGCAGATTAAAGTAGAGCTAAGGC